GGGGGCAATGGCCAGTGGCCAATGGGCAATGGGGGGTTGGGGGCGGGCGTTACGGGGTCGTCCGGGGCTTGATTGGTTTTCTGGTGCCTGTTGGTGATTGGTTGGGGTGATCGGACCAGCCCGCTCCCTCACGGTCGCGGTTGTCTTCGTGTGAGCGGGGGTGGTGGGGCGGTTTGGCACGTTCCTGGAAAGAAGTGCTGGGGAATCGCGGATCCACCGAATCCCTTTCCGCGGCCCATCGTATCGCAATCCCGACGCCGACCCGTGCCCCCGGGGCCTGCCACTGGAGGGACGCATCTGCTGGGCACGAGGAGCGGCGGCGTCGTGTGGTGTTTGCACCGAGGGGCCTCGGTCGGGCACTATGACAGGGTGATCGGTGGGGGCGTGGGTCTTCGAGGGGGACTCTCTGTGGAGGGGAGTGGACTCGAAGGGACCGCGTTTTTGGTGCGCACACGTTGACAACCACCACCCACGAGACCAAACCTGCGGTCACCGTTCGGCCGAAAGCCGACGGCGCGGACGCTTCCCAGACTCTGAATGATGCGATCTCCTTCGCGGACGCCCGGGACCGGGCGCTGCTCGCGGCGCACCGGGGCGGGGACGCGACGGCGCTGCCGGAGTTGCTCAGTTCGTATCAGGACCGGCTTTTTTCCGTGTGCATGCGGATGGTGAACGATCCGGAGACCGCGGCCGACCTCACGCAGGAGGCGATGGTCAAGGTGATCCAGGGGATCGAGGCGTTCGCGGGGCGGTCGAAGCTCTCGACATGGATGATCCGGGTGACGATGAACGTGTGCCTGACGCACCGGCGTCGGATGCGGCTCCGGAACCACCTGTCGATCGACGTGCCCGTGGGCCGGGCCTCTGGTGAGGCGCCGACGACGATGGCGTCGACGCTCGTGTCCGAGCAGGAGGCGTCGGCCGAGGAATCGGCGTTTTCGCGGGAGACGCGTCACCGGCTCTACCGGGCGATGGAGAAGCTGGAGCCGGGGCAGCGGGCTATTTTGATCCTGCGGGACGTGCAGGATCTGGACTACCGGCAGATCTCGGAGATCCTGGAGATCCCGCAGGGGACGGTGAAATCGCGGCTTTTCCGGGCGCGGACCGCTTTGCGGGAACAGATCGAACGGACGTAGAACTTGCGCGTCCTACTGTGGGCTGAGTCCGTATCCTTACCGCACAGGCCCATATCCAATTGTCATGACCCGGAAACCGAAACATCCCGCGCTCACGGAAGAGGACCTTCTCGATCTGGTCGAGGGGCGGCTGCCGCTGGAGCGGTACCAGGAGCTGGAGCCCGCGCTGCGGGCGGACCCGGACCTCGCGGCCCGGGTGAAGTCGATGGCTCGGGACCGGGCGGTGCTCGCGGAGGAGTCGGCGACGACGTACTCCGCGCCCCCGGGGCTCATCGAGGGGGCGCTGGCTCAGGCGGAGCGCGAGGCGCTGGTCGACGATCGGCCCGGGACGCGTGCCGCGGGTGGTGCGGCGGCGGGGGGGCTCATGCTGCCCAAGCTGATCGGCGGTCTCGCGGCGGGGGTGGCGATCGCGCTGTCCGTCGCGCTGACGGCGACGTTCGTCCTTACGGACGGGCCGACCGTGGGCGAGAAGCTCGCGCATTCGGAGGAGGCGGCGCCTTCTCCGGCGTTCGAGGAGCCTGCTCCTGCGAGGGAGCGGTCGGATTTCCGGGCCGCGGCGCCGGACGCTGCGGCGATGGCGTCCGCGGACGGGGCCGGCTCATCGGTCCGTCCTGAATTGATGGGGTCTTCGGTGGCGGAATTCGGGCGTTTGGAGGCGCCCGGGGCGGCACGGGTGGCGCTGGGGGACGAGGAGCTGGATCGCGCGGAGCGGCTCGCCCGCGACGGGCGTCTCCGGCTTGTGGTGGTGGCGTCTGGAGAGGAAGAGGGTGTTGCGCTGGCATCGTTTGATGGCGTGGAGGGGTTCCGCGGGCTCAAGGCTCGGGACGGGCGTCGGGTGATCGCGCCGTTCGCGTACGCGATGTTCGGGGACGCGGTGGAGGGGGCGCCGGTGCGGTACGAGAGCGAGAACGTGATCTACACGAGCGTGCTCGACGGCGGGACGTACACGGCGGAGCTCGCGCTGGAAGGCGTCCGCGGGGCGATCCGGTTGCTGGAGGCGGAGGGGTACGCGGTTCGGGTGGAGCAGGCGGGGCGGGTGCGGGCGTCGACGCTCAGGGCGGAGGACGTGCTCTGGTGGACGCCGACGACGGTGGACCCGCCGGCGGAGCGCGCGACGATCGAGCTCGCGGTGCGCCGCGACTGATCCGGGATTTTTCTTCGTATGTCGAGTGTGTGCTTACGGTTACGCGGCGTTCGCGTCGCTTGGCTGTGCTCTGTAGCGTTGCTCGGCGCGCATGACGGCGAAGGTGAGGGGCGGGACGACGAAGAGGCCGACGAGGGCGAGCAGGTGGCCCGTCGTGGCGTTGGCGAGGGTTTCGTGGTTCCCGGTGGAGGCGAAGAGGACGACGATGGCCGCGACGATGGTGCTGACGCAGGCGAGGAGAATCCCGGCGCGTCTGACTTTGCCTCGCTGTCGAACCGTCACGGAGCGTTCCTTCCTGTCTCTCTCTTGGCGCGTCCTTGCGTCGGGCGTTTCCTGCCTTGGAGTGCCCGAAATTCCCTGTTGGGGGAACGTGACATGATGCCGAGGTCGACGCTCCGCGTCATCCGGTGCATGGATCGTGGACAACCCGTGGAATGTGAAGGCCGAGGGGCGATGATCGACGCTCGTGGTCGATCGGTGAAGCGTCGCGGCTTCTTGTCTCACACCGTCTCCGCCGGTTGTGAGCGGCCCGTGGTGGAAGTATCGTCCCCCGGTTGTGAGTCTCAACAAACTTTCGCCATGCCGAGGACGTGTGTGGATGGTCGCGTTGCTCGCGCCCGCGCTGGCGCTGGGGTGCGTGCCGTCCGTGGCGTTGGCGCAGGCGGCGCCGGCGACGACGGGGGCGCTGCAGTCGCCGTACGACGGGCTGCCGATCTCGGAGATCCGGTTTGTCGGTCTGGAGCGCGTGAGCGAATCGTTCGCGATGAACCAGATCCGGTCCGCCGTGGGGCGCCCGTTCAGCAGCCCGACGGTGCAGGAGGACCTGCGCCGCCTGGAACGGATCGGTCAGTTCCGTGACATCTCGGCGGAGATGGTCTCGAAGGACGACGGGACGGTGGCGATCGAGTTCACGGTGACGGAAGCGCCGGTGATCACGGACGTGGCGTGGGTGGGGAACCGGCAGCTGAACGAGGAGGAGGTCGCGGCGGTGATCCGCTCGGCGGTGACGATCCTCCCCGGCGTACCGCTGGACGAATACCAGATCAACCGCGGCAAGCGCGAGATCGAGAAGCTGTACCGGGCGAAGGGGTTCTATCAGGTCGAGGTGACGATCGACGAGACGGAGCTGGAGAGCACGCAGACGCTCGTGTACCGGATCCGTGAGGGTGAGCGGATCGCGATCACGGCGATCCGGTTCGACGGGAACCGGAGCTTCACGGCGAAGGAGCTGCGTCCGAGCGTGGAGACGAAGACTCGGGGCCTTTTCAACGCGGGCCCGCTGGACGAGAACATCCTGCGCGACGACGTGACGAGCCTGATCACGTTTTACCGCGACCGCGGGTTCCTGGACGTGCGCGGTTCGTACGAGATCCAGCCGTCGCCGAACGGGAAAGAGGCGATCATCACGTTCGTGATCGATGAGGGCGAGCGGTACGTGCTGCGGGACATCATCGTGGTGAACGCGTCGGCGACGGAAGGCGACGAGTCGCTGACGGTGTTCACGCCGGAGCAGATCCAGGGTCTGATCACGATCAAGCCGGGTGACGTGTACGGGGCGAACGAGATCCGCGGCTCGGTGGAGCTGCTGGAGAACGCGTATTTGCAGCTGGGGTACGCGGACGTGCAGGTGGCGTCGCAGGACCTCCGGGACACGGAGGAGCCGCTGGTCGATCTTCGGATCGTGGTGATCGAGGGGAACCGGTTCCGGACGGGCCTGGTGATCGTTCAGGGGAACGACCTGACGCAGCAGAAGGTGATCCGGCGCGAGGTGGAGAACCTTCCGGGGCGGTGGCTGGACGCGAAGAAGTCGCGTCTTGCGGAGCGTCGCCTGCGAGCGAGCCGGCTGTTCGACCCGAGCGCGGTGGCGATCACGGTGCAGCCGGAGGACCCGGATTACGCGGGGTACCGCGACCTGCTGGTGCAGGTGGCGGAGACGAACACGGGCTCGTTCAACTTCGGCGTGGCGGCGAACACGGACTTCGGCGTGGCGGGCATCATCTCGCTCGAGCAGCGGAACTTCGACCTGTTCGACACGCCGGACTCGTTCGACGAGTTCGCGCGCGGGCGGGCGTTCCGCGGGGCCGGGCAGGAGTTCCAGATCGCGGCGTCGCCGGGCAGCGAGCAGTCGATCTACTCGATCAGTTTCCGGGAGCCCTCGCTGCTGGAGAGCGAGTACAGCCTGGGGACGACGGCGTTCTACCGCGAGCGGGAGTTCAACGACTACGACGAGGAGCGTCTGGGCGGGAACCTGGAGGTCGGGCGTCGGTTCGGGACGCGGTGGTCGGGCCAGCTGCAGATGCGCGCGGAGCGGGTGGACATCACGGATATCGACGCGGACGCGCCGGTGGACCTGTTCGAGATCCAGGGCGAGAGCGACCTGACGTCGCTCGGGTTCGAGCTGACGCGGACGACGCTGGACAACGTCTTCCGCCCGACGGAGGGGACGCGGACGCGGATCAGCGCGGACCAGTTCGGCGCGCTGGGCGGGGATTACGAGTTCACGCGTCTGAACGTGGGGCACACGCTCTTCCTGACGGTGGACCAGGACTTCCTGGGGCGCGAGACGGTGCTCTCGATCGAGACGCGCGCGGGGTGGATCCCGCAGGACGACGAGGCGCCGCTGTTCGAGCGCCTGTTCCTTGGCGGGCGGTCGTTCCGAGGCTTCGAGTTCCGCGGCGTGGGCCCGGTGGGCATCCGCAACGACACGGGGCTGCCCGGGGACGACCACGTGGGCGGCGAGTTCTCGTTCTTCCTGGGCCTGGAGCTGCAGAAGCCGGTGTTCCGCGACCTGATCGCGGTGGTGGCGTTCGTGGACTCGGGCACGCTTGCGGAGGACGTCGAGTTCGACGAGTACCGGGTGAGCGTGGGCGGCGGGCTGCGTCTGTACATCCCGCAGTTCGGTCAGGCGCCGCTGGCGTTCGACTTCGCGGTCCCGGTGGTGAAGGAAGACACGGACGAGGAGCAGGTGTTCTCGTTCTCGCTTGATCTGCCGTTCTGAGCCTGGAACGGGGCGGTCTCGCGAAAAAAACGTGTCGGGGCGGGGAGCGGGCCCTTGTATGGTGATCGCTAACTTCGATACACTGTGGGCGGTATCGCTGCGCACGGAGGCGTGCGCGACCGCCGGCCCCGCAGGGGGAGGGGCGTGGCCCTGACGTGGCCCGCCGTCCCCGCCCCCGGAACCGCGATGAGACGAGGAGTTTGCGCATGCACCGTACGGCCAGGACTGTTGGGACGCGTTGGAATGTGGTGGCGGTCGTCGCGCTGGCGGCGATGGTGGTGACGCTCGCGGTGACGGGCCCGTCGGCGCAGGCGCGGATCGCGTCGCTGCTCGCGGAGCCGACGTCGGTCGCGGTGGTGGACATCGACTCGGTGCTGAGCCAGCTCGACGAGCGGGCGCGTCTGGAGGGGCAGCTCGAGGCGCTGGCGGCGCGTCTGGAGAACGAGGTGAACACGCTGAAGACCGCGGCGGACAACATGGCGGGTGACATCGACCTGTTCGAGCCGGGGACGGAGCAGTACAAGGACAAGCGCCGCGAGATCCTGGAGGCGAACGCGCGGTGGCAGGTGCAGGGTGAGCTGGCGAACCGGATCATGCTCGAGGAGCGTTCGACGCAGCAGCGTTCGCTGTACCTGAAGATCATGGACGGCGTCCGTGCGTACGCCGAGAGCGAGGGGTGGGACATCGTGCTGATCGACGATTCGGACGAGGAGGTCCCGCGCGGGCTGACGCGTGAGCAGTTCAGCGCGTTCGTCTCGACACGCTCGGTGGCGTACCACGCCGAGGCGGTGGACATCTCGGACGCGGTGGCGACCGTGCTCAACAACGCGTTCCGGAACAACATGAACCCGTGAGCGGGCCGCTCGGCACAACGGGCGAGCTGGCCGAGCGATTGAAGGCGGAACTGGTGGGGCCGTCGGACGTGGCGCTGCGCGCGCTGGACACGCTCTCGTCCGGGGGCGATGGGGCGCTGACGTTCGTGCGTTCGGAGGCGAACGCGTCGGCGTGGGCGGGCTCGGGGGCGTCGGCGGTGCTGGTGTCCCGGGCGGTGCGCGACGCGTCGCCGGGGGCGTTCGCGGACGGGCGGCCGGTGCTGGTGGTGGACGACGCGGACCTGGCGCTGATCGAGCTGCTCGAGGCGCTGCGCCCGCGCGTCGAGCACGTCCCCGGGGTGGACCCCGGGGCGCACGTGGACGCGTCGGCGTCGGTGGACGCCTCGGCGTGGGTCGGCCCCGGGGCGCGGGTGGCGGCGGGGGCGACGGTGGGCGCGGGGGCGCGGGTGTGTGGCGGGGCGAGCGTGGGGCGGGGCGTCGTGATCGGCGAGGGCAGCTCCATCCGCGAGAACGCGGTGCTCTACGACGACACGGAGATCGGCCGCGGCGTCACGGTCCACGCGGGGGCGGTGATCGGGGCGGACGGGTTCGGCTACCGCCCGAGCCCGGACGGGCGTGGCGTGGTGAAGGTGCCGCACGTGGGGCGGGTGGTGATCGGCGACGGCGTGGAGATCGGCGCGAACACGACGATCGACCGCGGGAAGTTCGGCGCGACGGTGATCGGGGCGGGGACGAAGATCGACAACCTGGTGCAGATCGGTCACAACTGCGTGATCGGTCGGTGCTGCATCATTTGTGGGTGCACCGGGATCGCGGGTTCGGTGACGGTGGGCGACGGGGTGACGATCGCGGGGGGCGTGGGGATCGCGGACAACGTGACGATCGGGGACGGGGCGACGATCGGGGCGCAGTCGGGCGTGGCGGGGAACGTAGCGGCGGGGGCGACGGTGTTCGGGTCGCCGGCGCGGGACGCGCGCCGGGCGATGCGGAACCTGGCGGTGCTGGACCGGCTGGCCGAGTCGTACGACAAGATCAGGCCCCTCCTGCGGGGCGACTCCTAGACTTCCACCTCAGGTGAAGGATCGGTGACGATGGTTCGGGCGCTCACAACGGGAACGCAGCACACGCTGGCCTCTGACGCGACGGTGTCGGGGATCGGTCTTTTTTCGGGTCGCCCGGTGTCGATGACGATGCGCCCGGCGGAGGCGGATTCGGGGGTGACGTTCCGTCGTGTGGACCTGCCCGGCTCGCCCGCGATCCCGGCGCACGTGGACCACGTGGCGTCGGCGAGCCGCCGGACGGCGCTGGAGGCGGGCGGGGCGCGGGTGGAGCTCGTCGAGCACGTGCTCAGCGCGCTGGCGGGGATGGGCATCGACAACGCGGTGATCGAGACGGACGCCGCGGAGCTGCCGGCGGGCGACGGCTCGGCGGCGCTGTTCACGGAGGCGATCGCGACGGCGCGGGTCAAGGAGCAGAGCGCCCCGCGCCGGCCGCTGGAGGTGACGGAGCCGATCACGCTCCGGGAGGGTGACTCGACGATCACGGCGCTGCCGTCGGACGCGGAGGGGACGGAGTACCTCTACGTGCTGGACCACGGCGACCACGGTGCGATCCCGCGTCAGGTGTACACGTACACGCTGAGCCCGGGCGATTACGCGACGCGGATCGCGCCGGCGCGGACGTTCTCGACGGAGACGGACGCCCGGGCGCTGTGGGACGCGGGTCACTTCCGGCACCTGACGACGAAGGACATGCTGGTGATCGGCGAGGACGGGCCGATCGACAACGAGCTGCGTTTCGACGACGAGCCGGTGCGCCACAAGCTGCTGGACCTGATCGGGGACCTGGCGCTGACGGGTCGGCCGATCCGGGGCCGGATCCTGGCGGTGCGGTCGGGGCACGCGCTGAACCACGCGCTGGCGAAGAAGCTGCTCGAGCTGGAGGCGGCCCGCTCGGCGGGGGACCGGGGGCTCTCGCCGGCGCCGGCGATGGACATCAACCGGATCATGTCCCTGCTGCCGCACCGGTACCCGATGATCCTGGTGGACCGTGTGCTGGAGATCGAGGCGGACCAGCGTGCGGTGGGGGTGAAGAACGTGACGATCAACGAGCCGTTTTTCCAGGGGCACTACCCGGTTCGGCCGATCATGCCTGGAGTGCTCATCGTCGAGGCGATGTGCCAGCTGGCCGGGCTGATGCTGAGCCAGAAACTCGAACGGACGGGCAAAATCGCGATGCTGATGTCGCTGGAGAACGTGAAACTGCGGAAACCGGTGACCCCGGGGGACCAGCTGGTGCTGGAGGCGGAGGCCCTGAAGGCCAACGCGCGATTCGGGGAGACGCAGTGCTCGGCGTTCGTGGCGGGGGAGCTGGCGGCGGAGGCGCGGGTGAAGTTTTTGATGGTGGACGCCGAAGCGTCGTAAACTGGGAGCGTCATGCGTCAACGGATCCATCCCACCGCGATCGTTCACCCCCGGGCCGAGCTGGCCGACGGTGTGGAGATCGGGCCCTACTGCGTGATCGAGGAGGGGGCGCGGATCGGGGAGGGGACGGTCCTGCACAACCACGTCACGATCCAGGGGGAGACGGAGATCGGGCGTGAGAACGTCCTGTACCCCTTCTCGGTGATCGGCGCGGAGCCCCAGGACCTGAAATACAAGGGTTCGGCGACGAGTGTGGTGATCGGGGATCGGAACAAGATCCGCGAGCACGCGACGGTGCACCGGGGCACGGAGCTGGGCGGCGGGGTGACGCGGATCGGCGACGACACGCTGATCATGGTGCACGCGCACATCGGGCACGACTGCGTGATCGAGAACGGCGTGGTCATCGCGAACAACACGATGCTGGGCGGGCACTGCCTGATCGAGGAGGGTGCCGCGATCGGCGGCGGGGCGGGGATCCACCACTTCTCGACGGTGGGGACGCTCTCCTTTGTTGGCGGGATGAGCCGGATCACGAAGGATGTCCCCCCATATGTGGTGGTTGAAGGGACGCCGGCGGAGCCCCGGGCGATCAACACGACGGGCCTGAGCCGCCGGAGGTGGCCGACGGACGAGATCGATCGTCTGCGTCGGGCGTTCAAGGCGATGTTCCGGAACCCGGACGAGCAGATGAGCCGGACGCTGGAGGGTCTGCGGTCGGAGGCGGGGCAGAGCCGGGCGGTTCTGAGGCTCTGCGATTTCGTGGAGCGGACGCAGCTTGGCGTGAAGGGCCGATCACTCGAATCGGACCGCCACGACAGGACCTAGGCGGCCGATAAGCCCGATCTTTTCAAGATTTTGGGCGAATCGGACTTGCGGGGCATTGCGTCCGTGATAGGCTGGTTGTGGAGGACTGCACATCCTCCGCATGAGTCAGGTTTGAGAGACATCCCATTCGGATCAGAGAGACGAGAGATCGTTCGTGCGCTGTCGCGTACGGACTGACGCACCGCTTTCGGCCCTGCACAGGTCGGACAGCGCGTGAAATCATCTGAGGAGTCAGAGATGAGCATTGTGAGACGCGCGATCGCGTCGGCCGCCCTTGCCGCCGGCCTCGCCACACCGTCGTTCGCGGGAACTTTCGAGTCCGCGATGTACACGTTCACGTTCACGAACCCGACCGGGATCGACTGGACGGGCGTTCTGTTCGAGGTCGTCCCGGACCCGCAGGTCCTGGCGGGCGACGACGGGACGTACGCCGCGGCGTTCGCCAGCGTCAATTTCCCGCAGGTGACCGGCCCGGGCGGGCAGGACATCACCGGGAAGACGGCGGCGATCGTGTTCGATTCGTCGTTCGACAACGGCGAGCAGGAGGTCCTGTTCGACTTCCCGAGCGTGGCGCCGATGGGTCTGAGCGACGGCTTCGTGAGCTTCCACGTGACGATCGAGACGCCGAGCCTGACGGACGTTCCGTTCGTGGTGCAGTGGCGTCCGATTTTCGTCCCCGAGCCCGGTGTTGTGGCGCTCGCGGGCCTCGGCTTCGTGTCGGCGGCACGCCGCCGTCGCACGGCGTGAGCCCTGGGAAGTTGGACGTATCCAGAACGACGTTTCGTACCACGATCCGAATCCACACACGCGGCTGATCCCCGCGTGATCGACTGAGAGAGATATCCATGAGCATCAAGCGAACCACAAGACTGAGCATCGCCGCGGGCCTCGTTGCCGCGGCGTCGACCGTTTCGAG